CTGCTGAACAAACCTCGTCCACTGGTTTCCCAGAACCTGACCTGTCTCTACCCAGCTGAGTCGGAAATCCTAGGCCATGAGCCTCCTCTTGTTCTTTCCCCAGTGGTTCTCAAAGTGTGGTCCCCACCCCAGCAGCATCCTTATCACCTGGGAACTTATAGAAATGCTGGTTCTTGGGCCCACCGCAGACCAACTGAGTTGAAAACCCTGGGGTCCAGCCATCTGTGTTTTAGCAAGCACTCTAGGTTATTCTGTTGCTTGCTAACGTTTGAGAACTACTGCTCTAACCTATACGCTTAGAGTGGAAGAACTGAGGGCTTTCGGTTCTTATCCTAGCTGGTCTCATTACCTGTGAGGCTTCAAGCCACACTCTGATTTACCTACCACCAGAGCCTCAGTTTCCATAGCAGCAGCATGAGGTGTTTACATTACCTCCCAGGTTCTTAGAGTATATTATTCTAGCTCTCAAAGTGGTTTGTCAATCCTTTCCTAAAATACAAATAAGCATGTGACTTCCCCCCTCCCCCAAACTTGCCAGGTTTCTACCCAGGGATTCCCCTTTGTGGTTTCCTTTCTGCTTGGCAGTTGGTGTAAGTTTTGATGCCAGGCATACGGAAGGTCATTTGGGGGGAAAAAAAACCACACACATGCATGCACGCACAACAAAAAGTGATCAGCTTATTCAGCTTAGTGACAATGGCAACTGGGACTTAAGCCCTTGACAACATCAACTTTTAAACAATTAAACCTTTCCTGGTGGCTTTGGAGGGTCACAATGTGGGTGAGTTTTTTGTTATTTGTCTCAAATCTCACACCATTGTTAATTCAGGAAACCTATGCCATGTGCCTACTCTATATGTGCCAGATGCACCCCAGGCACACCTATGAACTGGGTATATGGGCCAGAGTCCCAGGAGGGTCCTAGTCTCTTGAGTTCCAGACTGACCTGTCCCTGGCCCTGGCCCATACATCCACCCTCTGATTCTTGATTAAGTTTCAGCCTTGCCACCCCAATATCATCTTCTGTCCTGTGATCTGGGGGAGGCATCCGCAGGGCTGCAGCTGTAGGGTGTGCGTTCCTCATCTGCTCATCTGGCAAAACCCTCAGCAGATGTGAAAGGGAGGCCGCTCCAGCGGCCTGAGTCGGCAGAGCCCTGGCCTCTTCTCTCTGAGGGGGTCTTTAGGGAAGAATACAGAATGCAGAGCCAACACTTTGTTGAAGCGAGCCTCCAAGCAGGGGCCTCGTGAACTCCTCTGGTCCCCTCTGTTCTAGGGGTGGCACTGGGGATGCCATGGTGCATGGAGCCAGGATGCCACAATGTATGCTGTGAGCTTCAGTAGAGGAGAGGTTGCACAGTTGGGCAGGCAGGGGAGGGCACTGTCAACCCAATCTTGGGAACTCCTGGGCTGATTCCACACTCCTAAGTGAGACTTGCCTATGAATCTGAACCCTGGCATGCTGTCCATTAGATGAAAAAGGCAGAAGTCTGTTTCGTTAAAGTGCCAGGGCTCTGATTAATTACCCCTTCTGAAAAAAGCTTGCTACACCTAGAACTTCCTTGACATTGGTCCCAGCTGTCACACTGCCAGCAGTTTCAAGTCCTGTTTAAACATTTAAACCACTAAATGGAAATCCCATCAGCCATGGTGCTGTGTAAGCAGCATGTGCCGTTGGGGGAGTATCTTCAGACTGTTAGTAATTGCATCACTTTCCCTGGTGGAGGTGATGAACAGCCCTCAGCACAATGAGATGATGTTTATGAAAGCACCTTATAAACTGTAAAGTGCCATATAAACATTCACTGTCTGTGTCAAGATTATGGGAAAGA